TAGATCCTTTTGGGGGTCTGGGTGAACCCACTCCTCGTAGTTGACTTAACGTTGTGAGTAGCCGAACCGAGAGACCTCATCCGGACTCCGAGTTGCGAGAGCGTAACCCACCCCTGACCCTCAAACTTGGAGACGAGCAGGTTATCAAGCAGCGCGAGATGGGTGGGAATGTGCGAACTTGGCTGCACTGCGCAAGCTTCAGAGATTCGGATGGGGGGTTAGGGATTCAGGGATTCGGATGTAGGGTTCCGGACACTGCTTTGCCGCGTTTGATCTGTTGCAGATGGAGCTAATGTTCAAGATGAACCATAGGATATGTTTCGGTAGTAGCAGTGTACTTCAAAAGCACACACGGTAAAAGTCGGGGCATTGTCTCTGCGGCTCCATGGCGTCGACAAACGCAGAAGGCCGCAGATTCGCATGCAGCCACATGCCGCAGGTCCGGGAAGAAAGTCATGAACATTGGCGCTCGATTCGGTGGGAACCGCATCGAGCCGGAAACTTTGCCGCACCGATGCTGTCTTCGGTCACGCGCTGTCTCTTGCGTCTGTAAGCACTTGTTTTCAGTAGCCGTGGCTCGGTGTTGTGCCGCTATCTCCTGGCCATGGCTCTGGTTGTCTACATGTGGATCAACCATGTTCAACTACAGGGTGTCTGTGCGAGGTCAGTGTCGGAAGAATTCTGGCGACTCAGAAGGATCTCCCTGCCGATGACCTCTCCGCCATCATTGACGTCCAGGCTCAGCAACCACTGTTGGCTATCGATGACGCAGTTTCCTTTGCCGATCAGTGTTTTCCACGTCTGCGATTCTTCTGGTTTTATGATGCATCACTGCTACACACTGCCAGTTCTTGGCATTCTCTGGAAAAGAGGGGGATGTCCTTGCACAGGACGGCCACGTCCACGTCACCGCTAAGCTTGATGATGATGCTTGGGTCCGCAAGTTTGTGTTGCTGCGCACTCCTCTTCCCATCTGTGCCTGCAGCTGCCCATATCGGAGTTGATTGCCAGAGTACTGTCTGTTGTCCAGAAGGCTTTTTGCTATGTCAGCAGACGGTGTGTCGGCACACCACCAGGCTTTCAAACATGCGATTTGGGAATCGAAAGCCTCGTCATCGTCCAATCCTTTTCTCAAGTTTGAAGACCGGCTGAGGACGACAGTGATGACGAAGGTCGACGTCGCGCAGACAAGAAGATCACGCGGCGCAAGGACAGCCCCCATCTGGTTGCACTTGCTGGCGGGATGTGTGCAGAGAGCACCGGCACTGCTTGCTTCCACTCGAGCAACGTCATGTCAAGTCGCAGACACCCTACGTCCGCTGTCCGGGAAGCCAGGACGACGTTCACATCCTGACGCACGAGTCGTGCTCCTTGGCCGGGTTTGCACCTGGGGATCCTAAAAGTGTCATGAGATGAGGAGAGTGCCCTCATGCCTCATACTAGCGGCGGAGGGCACAAAAGCGAGAGCAGAACCAGCAACCCATGATTGGCCTTGGTTTGCTGCAGGTTCTTGCCAAGACTATTGCATGTTTCAACATGTCGCTGGAAGCACCCAGCCCCATACTTGCATGGCATAGCAGGGTGACAAGGCAAAGGTATGCATCCAGCAAAAGCAGATGTTGAGGTCGATAGCAGCAAGCAACAAGTGGTAGCAGGCGAGTTCAATTACAGGCAATGGCGAGGCTGACCCTTCTAAGTTCAAGATGTGTCGTTTTATAGGTAATGCCGCTACACTGATGCTCCTGATTTATTGCTTTGGTCCACGTGCTTGCCTCCGAGGGTGTAGATAGTAGTGGAGGGAGATGTTGCGCAGTGGCGGGGCAAGCTTAACATCGTGGCCTTAATGATTAGAATAGGGTTTTGGGGCCAATTCTACTAGAATCATAATAAGAAACCCCCAAAATAATATAGGTAGTTATTAAGGCCCCTATATCAACCCCAACATCCAAAACCCCAAGGCCGCAACAATAAAAGCTTCCAGCCCGGAACTAAAGCCACAAATCTTAGCCCTAACGCCAAAAGGCCCGAAACCCTAAAGCCTAAACCCAAACCTCTGCCCTGAACCCCAAAGTCGATGTTTCTTAAGTAGTGGGGTTTTGTGTTTGTGTGTTGGGGATGTGATGGGAGCTGAATCGCTGCATGTGTGCCCGTTGTTGAGCCCGGCTCCGATGGGTGGTCAGCTGCTGAACTGGATTAGATAGCCCCTGTAAGTTTGTATGTTGCTGTGTGTTCCGGAAGCGGCTGCCCGAAGCCTCAGCCAGATTGGCATTCAACCTAACTTACCAGGCAGGTGGAAAAGAGGTGACAACAAAAAAAACCCTAAACCCTAAGCCCTAAAGGGGCCCGTTATAAGGCCGAACCCCGGAAGCCCCAGCTTTCGAAGACTCGCCACGCCTCAGCCCAGGGTATCTGAAGGCCTCTGAAACCTTTGCGCCTGAATTGAGGACCAAACCAGAGGGTTTAATTTAGGGTTTAGGGTGTAATTTAGGGTTTAGGGGTTTAGGGTTTAATTTAGGGTTTAGGGGTTTGCGGAACCAGATCAAGAGAAAGTCTTCCAAAACCTCTTAAAAGTTGACGTGCTTTTGGAGGCGGTTTTCGGAACGCAGTTCCCTAGGGCTCCAGTTACCTAAATAGTAGGTTACTGGGGTACATAATATATGGGCAGTTGTCAAAATTATGGTCCCTTTTGGGGTACCCTAAATAATAGGTGCCGTATTATAATAAGGACCCAAAAAGGGACCATAATTTTGACAACCACCCATATGGTTAGTAACCTACTATTTAGGTAACTGGAGCCCTTGGGGTTTATAGGAAGTCTCTGCAGGGACATGGCGACGCTCTCCAGCGCCCTCTTCGCCGACTTGCGGGGGATGGCGGGAGGACGGGATTTGGGCTTTGGACTCGCAACCCTAAGGCTACATGTGCTCATATATATATATATATATATATTTATTTATTTATTTATTTATTTTTCATTTATTTATTTACATATACATATACTTAGGCCTTAGATGGGTTTCCTATATAGATACTTTATCAGTCCTAAGTATATACCATCGGGGCACATGGAGCCTCAGAGGAATATGAAACCTACACGCCTGAAGCCTGAGGCCATAAATCCTTATTCCCTGAACCCCATGACCCTAACCCGACACCCCTAGACCTCATAACCCTAATCCCTAAACCCTAAACCCTAAACTAACCCTAACCCCAAACGCAACACCGGGAAGCTCGGGCCTCAAGGCGCCATCGGCAGCTCAGGCAGGCACCACCCTGTTCCTGGATGTTTCTGAGCTCTCAAACTGGCCCTAGACTTAAGCCGTGTGGGCTTAGTTAGGGTTTAGGGCTTGGGGTTCAGGATCTGGGAGTTTAGGGGCTGAGCTCAGTGCGCTCGGGATTCTACGGGGTTTCGGGGTTTGGCGGTTTAAGGGTTCGGTGCAGGACTTTTTCCGGAATCCCCGCGAAGCGCACAGAAGGGATGCCCATGAAACTACGTAAGCTGAGAGGCTTCCTTGATGAGATTCACAGGTAGTAAAGGGCTTTCTGAAGAAGTGCAAGGGTTGAGGTTTCAGGGTTCAGGGCTTGCAGTTTAAGAGGTTAGAGAGTTCAGGGTATCGGGTTGATAGTGGCCTCGGAACTGGCAGTCACATGCCATTCTAGCTTTCCGCTTTGGGTGCCAGATCATTAAGCCAAAGCCGATGAGCACTCTTTCTGCTTTTATCGAGGGGCATCTTCGGTTCCCTATCTGGCATAAGAACGGCTATCGAAGCCCCTACTGTAAGAAAGACCTCTTTGAGGCCCAGTTGAAGCATGATGGTCCGAAGTCGAAGTAAGATAGGGGCCTTAATATTTACCTGTACTATTTTCGGGGTTCCATATTATGATTATGGTATAATATACCCCAAAACCCTATTCTAATTATTAAGGCCCCTAAACCCTAAGCCCTTATAGAACCCTTGAAAAGAACCCTATTATTTACCTATAGTCTCCATTGTAGTTCCTTTTCGGGGATACTTGATAAAAATCCTTACGATGTTCTTGGTTAGACCAAAAAAAGGAACTACAATGGAGACAAGAGGTAGTTCCTTGAAACCCTAAACCCCTAAACCCCCTATAGAACCCCCTAAAGGAACCCTAGTATTTATGTCTGCTTCTTTTGCCTTCTGAGCAGGTGGCATCTTCACGGGCCCTGCCGCCCAGCCGAAAGCCAGCGGACCCGGGAAGGAGAAGGAGGCGCGGCTGCAAGGTCTAATGTAGGGGCCTTAGAAAATTGGAGCAGGATAGGGTTCCTTTAAAGAGTTACTATAAGGGTTAGTATAAGGGTTCTATAAGGGCTTGTCTAATGTAGGGGCCTTAGAAATTAGAACAGGATAGGGTTCCTTTAAAGGGGTTCCTTAAAGGGTTCGATGAGGGCTTAGGGTTTAGGGGCCTTAGTAATTAGAACAGGGTTTTTGGGTATATTGCATTATACTACATTTATAATAAGGAACTCCCAAAATAGTATAGGTAATGATTAGGGCCCCTGTCTTAAGCTATGACAATGGTGATGGCGCTGCTCAGGTTGGTGCGTGATGAAGATGCCGGTGATCGTGGGGAGTGCTGGAGTGCGTATGGCGGTGACGGTGGTGGTAGATGTGCGGGCGAGGTAGGCCGTGCTAGTGGTAGTTGTCATGGCCAGAATCCGGGCGATGGTGATGGTTCTCCATTGTAAACTTGGAAAACCATGCTTGCGCTTGTGCAGATGACCAGTCAAAACAAGAATGATGGCGGTTCTGAATCTGATGAGCCCAGTGATGGGTGGCAATCATCTTGGCACTGATGACAGCCAGAAGTTAAGAGGATGCAGTTGCGAGCAACAGTAGTAAGAGCACTGAAGCGGAGGAGGAGGGGCTTCGTGATGCAGTCAGTGCTGTTGTGGCCAGGCCAAGGAGCCTGCCGCGGCAAAGACTGCTGGACTGCCCCTCAGACGAGTGCAGCGTGTATCCAGGATCCTGTGACGACCTGCTGCTATGATGGTCAGATCCTATGGCAACAAAGCTCTTAGGACTCTAGACTTCAGACGGCAACAGATGTCACGCTTCACTAGCTGTAGGCATCTGACAAGCTTCGTCATGCCTAATGCATGAGAAGGCAACCGCAAGGCAGACAAGGAGACGGATGACAGCCCAAAGAAGCAGCCAGGCCCGCTTTGGTTATCCGTCTTGGGCCGTTGTCCCGGGCAGAGCCTTCAATTCATCAAAACTGCATGGCCATAGTCATGTTACATGGGTAGTTGTCAAAATTATGGTCCCATTTGGGGTACCCTAAATAATAGGTGCCGTAATAAAAACAGGACCCCCAAAAGGGACCATAATTTTGACAACCACCCACATAGCTCTCTACAGAAACCTGATAATTACGCTGAATCCCACTCTCCCTCTGCCGCGCAGACACGCAGCGGAAGACCCTGGCGCGAAGTGTATTCGAGGCCCGGGGGCGTGTGAACTCCTAAACCCTACCTAGACCCCAAAGAACCTACCTTTTTTAGGACTTTTATAAGGAAATCATAATAAGGAGCACTAAAAAAGGGAGGTTCTTAAGGGTCCAGGTAGCCCTTAAACCCTAAAACCCTAGCCTTTCGTGACCCTCTGGGCTTCGGAAAAAAAGAGTTCCAAAACAAAAAAACCCTAAACTCTAACCCTCATAAATCGCAAACCCTGAGCCAGGTCCCACGCCCCGAACCCAGAGCCTGCCCCCCCCCGCTTTCAACCCTAATTTCTAGAAGCTTAAATAGTTACCAACATTATTTTGGGGGGCTCCTTATTGTAACTATAGTATAACGGGCCCCAAGACCCTATTCTAATAAGTAAGGCCCCTGCATTTGATGCTTCAAGGAGGCCGGGTCTAGGGTTTAGGGTGTCCACTGCTTTTCGGGGTTATACGACCGAAAGTTCGGGGGTTCGTATTAGGCCTGAAATCGTTTCTACTAGGTGACGATTGGGGACACTTTGAAATCTTCACGGACTCGCTTATTCATGGACAAATGTGGTGGCTCCAAACCGTTAAACCCTATTCCCAAACCCTAAACCCTAAACCCTAAACCCTAAACCCTGCTAAACCCGAACAACCCTAGATTGTAACTCGAGGCCTTCTAACCCTAAGACCCTAAACCCTCCCGGAACCCGGGTTGCACTAAACCCTACCCTAAGCCCTTTAACCCTGCCACAGTAGCTCCGATAACCCCAAAAGCTACAATCCTTAGCCCTTAGGGCCTACAGAATCTTAAACCCTAAGCCGCATATAACCCCAAACCCCACAAATAATCTTATAAACCCTAGACCCTAAGACCCTAAACCCTAAACCCTAAACCCTAAACCCTAAACCCTA